TAAAAATATATTTCTGTATATGACAGTTCCAAACAAACTCATCAATACCTGTTTTCATATTGATCAATGTCTAATGCTTACTGTTAATTGCATAAATCACTATTTTAAATTTTTTAAAATAAAATTTGGTCTTCGAAAGCGATTAAACTATGAATGAATAAGATCATATTACGCACATATTAAATAATAATATAATTATAATTCTTATCAGTTAAACATTTATTTAATGCAGCCTTTTTTAAATTTTAACTTTCTGCAATACCATTTTACGAAAATCTGAGGACACTTTAATTCTACAAGAATGTGTATCGCATATCAAAATTTCACTTACAAAAATATATAAATCGATAATAAAGCCCTTTGATGATATCGGATATGAAAAAGACCCGCTGATGCTGCTCCTAGCGATAATGATGGCTTCGTCAAACAGCCCAAAAGGCATATAGCTAAAATTAGTGTCGAAACTAATATTAATAACCCTGCCGAAACTAATAATAATTTTGCTCAATTACCCGCTGATGAGACCGATGCCTCTCCAAATGCTGATGTGACTGCAGCTGCTCAACCCAAACTACCGCCCATCATGGTGCGCTACAAGGAGGACCTAAAGGACAATGAAATCAGCAATCAACATAAAGAGGACATAAGAATTAAGCTTGTCGGCGAGCAGCTTAAAATCTTCCCAGCAAACTTTGATGTGCACCGAGCCATCGCCAGATATCTCACGGAACAACAGCTCGAATACTACGTCATCACGCCCAAAAACCAACGCCCGCTCAAAGCGGTGCTAAAAGGACTTCCGGTAAGTTACTCTACCGAAACAATTGCTGCTGGACTCTCTGAACTTGGTCTCAAGTTAGATCAAGTCAGGCAACTAACTAACCTCAAGATCAAGGCCCCCATCCCGGTGTGGCAAATTGTATACAGAAAAGCCCCAGAGAACGTTAAGATCTTTGAGGTTACTCGACTATTGCACTTCTCGGTTCGAGTTGAAAAGTTCAGTAATTCATGCAATTTATTCCACCATTCCTCGAAGAATTGCAATTGCAAAAAAAGATGCCTCAAATATGGGGGTGAACACCATCTCACGGATTGCCACATTAAAGAACGCCTTGAAAATCCCACCTGTATAAACTGCCACCAGATGGGGCACCTCGCCGCTTGGAGAGGCTGCCCAATGTTTCCCACGCCACGTCTCCCGCCCAACCAGAGCCAAGCACCATCAAGACCTCCTTCAACAGCCGCCCAGTTTCTGAGGGAGGATCCTTTGCAAGTCTCTTACAAGAAACCCCGAAAAACTCTAACACCATGCCATCGGTCTCAAAGCAACCCTTACAAAATATTAATGCTAACAATACTAACTCTAACCCTTCTAATCATACTGCCGATTCAGCCACTAAAGCGCTTTATGTACTTTCAGAAATTGTAAATATCTTTAACATGCTTGGAGGTCTAGATAACTTTTACAGGCAACTTAAAAATGCTAATAGTCCCATTGAAAAATTACAACTTCTTTTTAAATGCCTCAATTAATTGCGCTTGTTGCTTTCTATTTAATTATTTTATAATTGCGCCATCCTTTTTAATTACTACTTCTTGTTTTATTTTTATCTTACTAAAATGGACATAAATACGCTCACTGCCTTTTGTTGCCAATGCTATTTCTTATTGCAATGAACCCTAGCATACCGGATTAGGAGTGAATAAGGCCATAACCGGCCAATGTACTCCGTGAAAGTTGAATGATGATATTGATGCAGTCACTGCTTTAATTTACACTGAAGTGACAAAAGTCATGGTATACCTCTTAATATCATGTCGGCCCTCCTTTCGCCTGGCGAAGTGCAGCAACTCGACGTGGCATGGACTCAACAAGTCGTTGGAAGTCTTCTGCAGGAATATTGAGCCATGCTGTCTCGATAGACGTCCATAATTGTGAAAGCGTTGATGGTGCAGGATTTTGGGCACGAACAGACCTCTCGATGATGTCCCATAAATGCTCGATGGGATTCATGTCGGGCGATCTAGGTGGCCAGATCATTCGTTGGAATTTTCCAGAATGTTCTTCAAGCCAATCGCGAACAGTTGTGGCCGGGTGACATGGCGCATTGTCATCCATAAAAATCCCATCGTTGTTTGGGTACATGAAGTCCATGAATGGCTGCAAGTGATCTCCAAGTAGCTGAACATAAGCATTTCCAGTCAATGTTCGGTCCAGTTGCACCAGAGGACAAAGTCCATGCCATGAAAAAACAGCCCACACCATTACGGAGCCACCACCAGCTTGAACAGTGCCTTGCTGACAGTTTGGGTCCATGGCTTCGTGGGGTCTGCGCCACACTCGAACCCTACCATCAGCTCTTACCAACTGAAATCGTGACTCATCGGACCAGGCCACGGTTTTCCATTCATCTAGGGACCAACCGATATGCTCACGTGCCCACGAGAGTCGCTGCAAGCGATGTCGTTCTGTCAGTAAAGGCACTCGAGTCGGTCTTCTGCTGGAATAGGCCAAGAAAGCCAAATTTCTCCGCACAGTTCTAACAGACAACTCCCTTGTACGCCCCACATTGATTTCTGCGGTTATTTGACGCAGTGTTGCTTGTCTGTTAGAATTTACGACTCTTTGCAGACGTCGCCGGTCTCGGTCGTTAAGTGCAGGCGGTCGACCACTGTCCTGTCCATGGTGGGATGTTATGCCTGAAATTTCATACTCTCGGCACACTCTTGACACAGTGGATCTGGGAATGTTGAATTCCCTAACGATTTCCGAAATGGCATGACCCATGCGTCTTGCTCCAACTAACATTCTGCGTTCAAAGTCTGTTAATTCCCGTCGTGCGGTCATCATCACGTCAAAACCTCTTCACATGAATAACTTGAACAGAAATGAAAGCTCTGCACTGTGCATTTATACCTGTTCTACGCGATGCTACTGCCATCTGAAAATTTGCATATTGCTATCCCATGACCTTTGTCACTTCAGTGTATATACACAAAATTACCACTTTTTAAAATTTATAGCGAAATGTTACTATATATACCTTACGCTATTCAATGTTAGCAGCGTGGTGCTGAGGACCTCTGGTGGCTGTGTGTTGTCCGGTTAAAAACGGCAATGTTAATGTGTCCGTTCGGGATATCCGAATGGCAATGAATATAATTATCCATGAAAATGGTAAACCAAACCTGTCTGACTTGAAAAAAAAAAAAAATTAAAAAAAAAAAAAAAAAAAATGATTCGCTCAGTTGTACGTGTAATAGACAGCACAGAGATACTTCGCTTTTTTTAGACTGATTTTTTAAAACTTTGTTAGCTATTTTTAATTTTAATTTAATTTTTCAATGTTATGAAATAGATGTTTTTTGTTAGGAATATGCCGCCCGCGAGCCGCCTGTTTAATGTGCAGGGAAACAAAAATGTTCTAATAAAATAAGAGGGATGCTTTTTGGGAGATGTTAAAAATTTTGTATTAGAAATAGCAAACTTTTAGTCATTGTAATAATTCAGTAAGAATCTGATTATTCTTTAGCATGATGGTTTTTATATTAAAATATTCAAAATGAATATTGAATGCATACGTTTATATAAAGCATTCAGGGCTTGGAAGGACGAGTGTCTAGCGCTCAGTGCCACAGATTTCAGATTCGAGTCCGGGCGGTGCCATTGATATTTGTAGTGGTTCGGAATCCACTTTAAGCTGCAGATCCGGTCCTTTCCAGATATGAAACCGGTCTCATAAGAGCATCACGAAGCCAAGTCAGACTTCTGTCTACGGGTGCTCCATCACCATAAAAGTTGCCCCATTTCTCACCATCCATGTGTGATTACTAATGGGGTGTCCGTCCCATACCGCAGGACACTGAGTATTAGTCACATCACATACATATAAAAGCATTCATAGTATTGTTTTATTTTTTAAATATAGATATATTACAGGGAAATATCAATATTCACATACTTTTTATTCCTTAAATTAAAATAAGACAAATTAACAGCAGCATTTATGCCATGTGTTACAAAATAGGATGTGTATCTCTGCAAATAAAAACAAATGCAACAAATGCGCAGGTGAAGATAAAAAAAAAAATTATGTCAAATGTTTGGAAAATAAAGAATTTCTTAAAAAAATTTCAATTGTTTCTCTAATAAAAAAAATAATAATAAAAGCAAAAATAAAAAAATAAAAATAAAAAAGATATTTCTGTATATGACAGTTCCAAACAAACTAGTCAATACCTGTTTTCATGTTGATCAATGTCTAATGTTTACTGTTAATTGCATAAATCACTATTTTAAATTTTTTTAAATAAAATTTGGTCTTCGAAAGCGATTCAACTATGAATGAATAAGATCATATTAAATAATAATTTAATTATAATTCTTATCAGTTAAACATTTATTTAATGGAGCCTTCTTTAAATTTTAACTTTCTGCAATACCATTTTACGAAAATCTGAGGACACTTTAATTCTATAAGAATATGTATCGCATATCAAAATTTCACTTACAAAAATATATTAATCAATGAAAAAGCCCTTTGATGATATTGAATATTGAAATATCCTACCAATTTCCACTAATCTACCACTTTGTTAGATTTTAAAAGAAATATATGTATATATATTTCACAACTGCGCATGGGCTCACCAGAATTCGGCAATTTATCGGGAAGCTAAAATTATTATTCATGTAAACCAAATATATTATTTATGTTGTTTTTGTTGTTTCTTATCCCACTTGGCTGGCCAAGCCCACGAGCCCATATGGACTCATGATTGAAGAGGAAGGAAGCAGCTTCTGTTGTGATGGAGCACCCGTAGGTAGAAGCCTGACTTTTGCTCCGTGACGCTCTTACAGTCCAAGACCAGGACCTACGGCTTAAAGTGGATTCCGAATCACTACAAACATCCATGGCACCGCCGGGATTCGAACCCGAAACCTGTGGCACCGAGCGCCATAGCGCTAGACACTCGGCCATTCAGGTCCCAAATTTGCCAACGGCACGCAGTGTTCCCAGGTGGTCACCCACCCAAGTACTGACCGCGCCCAATGATGCTTAACTTCGGTGATCGAACGAG